ATTGCGTTTCCATGCAATTAATGCGTGTTTTCCTTTGCGCGTTTGTGTACGCTTTTTGCGCATTTTCGCACGTTGTTGCGTGTTTTCCCCTAAATAGATGTTTTGGACTTTTTTCTGCATATGGGTGTATTGAGCATTGTCCAATGAAAAGAAGTCCCATCCATGACATAATTCCTGTTCCTGTTTGTTGTTATCGTCAAGAGAGAGGAGACCGTAGAGATGAACTCATCCAGGGCACGCTTGGTTGCGCTATGGATAGCTATGCAAATGAAATATTTTCTTAATGCCTACACATTAGCCAAGGGGATAACAACATCAGCCTTTCATCAGCTGTGGAACTACAAGTCCTGTGATGCATAAAAGTCTGTACACCCAGAAAAGAAACAGGCATGGCACCTAGAGGTAGCTGCATACTGGCATTTGTAGTTCCACAACACATGGAGATCTGCAGCTGCACAGACCTAAAATAACCACACAAGCAAACAGAAACATAAGCTACAACAGTATCACAACAAACTAGATGCACCGCGTCACAATCAGCATCAAAATGCTGCAAGCACTATTTTGATCGCACCGGACTGCACTGCAGGCACAATGTGCCTTGCGATCCCATTGCGGCCGGAGGGCGTGGCTACGGTGCCATTCACTTTAATGGCCCACCACGCCTCCTCCCGCCCGGCAAAAAAGTGAGCCGGCCGCAATGCGAGGCAGTGCGTTCCGGCCAGAATCGGACTGGAAAGCACTGTTTATGGTGTGAACTAACCCTGAGGGGAATTTATCAAAACAGGAGCAGACAAAATCTGGAGCTGCAGCTGTGCACGGCAACCAATCAGCTTCTCTCTTTTATTTTCATATCTTAACCTCTTGCCGTCCATAACACCGCGGATGTCAACTGGTTAACTGAACAAACTGGAGAGAAGCTGATTGGTTGCCCTGGGCAACTGCTCCAGATTTTGTCTTCTCCAGTTTTGATAAATTCCCCAATGTATCTTATTAATGTGTTTTTGTATCGACAAAAAGACAAACCCAGCTCACCAGAGCTAACCCTAACCACTACGACATACCTTACCCACCAAACCTTAACCACTACGACATACCTTACCCACCAAACCTTACCCACCAAACCTTACCCACCAAGACATATCTTACCCACCATACCTTAACCACTACAACATACCTTACCCACCACGACATACCTTACCCACCAAACCTTAACCACTACGACATACCTTACCCACCAAACCTTACCCACCAAACCTTACCCACCAAGACATATCTTACCCACCATACCTTAACCACTACAACATACCTTACCCACCACGACATACCTTACCCACCAAACCTTAACCACTACGACATACCTTACCCACCAAACCTTAACCACTACGACATACCTTACCCACCAAACCTTAACCACTACGACATACCTTACCCACCAAACCTTAACCACTACGACATACCTTACCCACCAAACCTTACCCACCAAGACGTACCTTACCCACCAAACCTTACCTTATCTACTAAACCTTACCCTCCAAACCTGTAGTCATATCCCTTACAGAATAAAAATAATAGAACCCGTTAGCGATTTGTAGCTCCATGGCCCAGCGTGGCCCTTAAAGGCAAAATATACGTTTTTATTTTTTTATCTTAGTATTGTTTATAATTATTTTCTTATTTTTTTAATAATTTGTTTCATATTTTTTTTTAACTTTTTAATCACCTGTTTTTTTTTACATTTAATTGTTTTTTAATTTATTTAATTATTTTTTATCAAATTTTTTTTTCCACTTAAAGGGGTTCTAAACCCTCCGTTTTTTTTGCCTAAATCTACTGCTACCCTGTTTCCCCGAAAATAAGACCTACCCTGAAAATAAGACCTAGTACTATTTTTGGGAATTGCTAAAATATAAGACCTACCCCGAAAATAAGACCTAGTTGTGACCATTCCCAGGGCCGGTGGTGGCATAAGGGGGAACTTGAAGAGCTGTGGGAGAGGCAGGAGAGGATCAGTGGTGCCAATGAAGCCAGCACTGGGGGAAGCGAGGCGGCACTGGAGGGAGCAGAGCTGCATAAGCCGATGCCTACTCTATAGCGCCGGCTCCTGTCACAGGCGGAGTGATACCAAATGCACGCCGCCTGTGAGGAATCCATAGTGAAAGTGCGCTTCGCTCATTCTGGCCAGCGATTGGTTAGCAAATTGCTCTTGGAAAGGTACGGCACCCCTGATTGCCCTGATCACCATATTTTTGTACATGAATACATGTAGACTTTTCTACCTGAATAAGTGTGGAAAAAATAAGACCTACCCCGAAAATAAGACCTAGTGTGTTTTTTGAGCCAAAAAAAATATAAGACAGTGTCTTATTTTCGGGGAAACACGGTAGCAAGCAGTAGATACAGACAAAAAGGTTTTTTTTAAAACACGCTTTAACAGCGGTTTACACTTACCGTGTTATCGCTGCGCACTCCCGCCGGAGAATCTGAAACTGATCGAGCGGCCGCAAAGCATCTTGGGGCGGGCGCATGCGCAGTTTGGATTTTTGGCCGGGAGACGAGCAGAGACGCAAGGTAAGTCTATGGATGCGTGCACCCGCATGCAGACACCGCTGGATCAGAAGTGCCTGCAAGCAGAGAGGAGTCAGAGCTGGATCGGAGAGCCGCCGCACCGCTGGAGGGACAGATGAAAACATCAGGAAAGAAGAAGAAGATCGGAATAAGAGACATAAGTTAAGGTAAGTGCTGACATTAACATTGGGGGAGGGGGAAAAATGTAGACTTTAATGTCACTTTAACTTTATTGCTATCACCCAGGAGCTAACATTCTCCTGTGTGATAGCAATTGGAGGTGACAGGTTCTCTTTATTGAACCCGTCACCTCCAGGACAGGTCATCACTTGTAAACGTACCCCACACTTACCGCCCGGCACAGTATGTTCCGGGCGTCGGGGGATTCCACACCAGTGCCGCCCCTCTGCGCCCTGCCGCTCCGAGGCCAGGCCTCGGTGGCCTTGTGTGGAATCCGGGCCTGATTGTGTTGCTGGGATTTGTAGTCCTCTATAGCTGGTGTTATTCTGCATTGCTGTGATTTGTAGTCCTCTATAGCTGGTGGTATTCTGCATTGCTGTATATTGTATTGCTGGGATTTGTAGTCCTCTATAGCTGGTGGTATTCTGCATTGCTGGGATTTGTAGTCCTCTATAGCTGGTGGTATTCTGCATTGCTGTATTGCTGGGATTTGTAGTCCTCTATAGCTGGTGGTATTCTGCATTGCTGTATAATGTATTGCTGGGATTTGTAGTCCCCCTACAGCTGAGTCAGTGAAAACCTGTCACATGACACTACTAAAGATAGGGGTAATTGGTATCGGAGAGTACTTGAGGAAACGTATGCGGCTGCAATGCTCAGACTACTGCAGACTATTCCCCCCAGACTCAGATCTGTACGGAGCCTCGGACCTGACTGCAGGAAGCGCAGCGGTGATGGGGGAGCGATCTCCCGCGTGCTCCCTACAAGTCCTGTCCTCAGCGGTGTTAGATGGGACTTGTAGTACAGTCCACTAACATTGACAGAGCCAAGCACCCCGTGAATCAGGAAAGTGGGGAGAGGGGGGGCAGTCTGAGAGTAGGGGGGGATGTGACTGTTACACCCCAAATATGGTCTAAAAGGTGGACTGTGCCTTTAAAATAAAGTTTTGTCTTTGGATACATTGTAACAATTCAGTAATAACAATGACACCCCACCCCCACCAACTGTTGGCACTGTGACAATGGAGTTTGGTGCTGATAACCCCGGGGCCGGGACGGAGATAAGAGTCCCCTCCCCCATCGACCAGGAAATGTCATTGTACCGACGACCCGGGGTCACCTGGAGATAGGAGCGCTCACTAACCAGAATTACCGGTCCGAGGTCATCCAACCTCCTGTGTCTCCACCCCCCTCCTTTATTGTCACTCGGTGTCACTGACACAACTCCAGGGACAGTCTCACTTCCTACGCTGCGCTGCTGGCACGCAAACCTAAAACAGTTTACGATTCCGAATCTGGACGGAGGGAGAAGGTGTCGGCTTTACGGGGGTCACTGCGCGCTTCTGGCTGCACCGGCTCTCCTGCCGAGCGGAACTTTGTACCACACACCCCTGCCGAGCGGAGTGACAGGTCCTGGGAGAGGGGACCCGGGGGCGGAGCGCAGAGACTCAGATGATTGTTGGAGCGGATCCACGGTGTTCAATTCATTCTTGGGTGGAGCGGTGGTCACGGGCTGTTGTGACTGGAGTCGCGTGGCTCTGTGGAGTCGGTGGCAGCCTGCAATTCATGGTGGAGCTGGAAGACCTCCTCTGTGTACAGCATCATTTCATTTTTGGCTGAAGCAGAATTGGAGGGTCTCAGAGGCTATTGTAGGTGGAGCGGGGGCACGGTGCTGTGTATTGTAGGTGGATCCGGGGCACGGTGCTGTGTATTGTAGGTGGAGCGGGGGCACGGCGCTGTGTATTGTAGGTGGAGCAGGGGGCACGGTGCTGTGTATTGTAGGTGGAGCGGGGGCACGGCGCTGTGTATTGTAGGTGGAGCTGGTGGCACGGTGCTGTGTATTGTAGGTGGAGCGGTGGCACGGTGCTGTGTATTGTAGGTGGAGCTGGTGGCCCGGTGCTGTGTATTGTAGGTGGAGCGGGGGCACGGCGCTGTGTATTGTAGGTGGAGCGGGGGCACGGTGCTGTGTATTGTAGGTGGAGCGGGGGCACGGTGCTGTGTATTGTA